GACATGTGCAGAAGATGTCTATCAACCACTCTGTTCTCTTTTTCTAATTGGTGAGTTCAAGTGCTTCCGGGTGCTCAGACAGATACACAGATTTTGTACTGACAAGTTGAAATAGAAACAGTGTGGATGGTTATTGATAACTTTCATTAAAGGTATAAATAAATTCCAAGAATAATTTGGCAAAAGAATAGGCAGGGTTTCTGGGGGTGTCAGACAGCTGTTGAGAACAGCACCTGGTGAAAACACAAATGAAAATTTGCAAAAATAATAATATGATAATTTTCATTTATGCAGCTCTTTTCAACTGAGGATCTCAAAGTAATTCATCTGAAAATCTACAACCATTAATTAATTGAATATCAGCACATTCTAGTGAAATAGGTGTATCTATACTAGCATCTTTTAATACATGGGGATACAGAGGCTGAGGGGTTAAGTACATGGCCAAGGCCACACAGTGTCATTGAAAGAATTGCAAATAGAGTCTTCAATTCATCCTCTGTTCTAACTAGTAGAAAATGTAATTAAATATTTGAGGCAGGTTTATCTATGATCATTGGATTCTCTACTTTTCCACAAAATTATACACACTAAAAAAATGAAATAAAAAATCCATGTATACATTACACACATGCTTTCTCACTTAGGTAAATGCATCTCTAAGAGGGGAAAGAAAAAAAGAAAACAAATCCTTAAGTCAGAAAATCACCCAGCAAGGAAGGCTTTTATCTGGCTCATGAATATTTGCCTATGCTGGAATCAAATAATGAATACACTTCCCTGTAAAGACCTGAATTATTCTCTCTAACATTATTATGTATCCCTTTGATACTACTCACGTTGTATGAAAAATATGTTCAAGATTTTGTTCTGTATTACTCTTTGACAGCCTACAGCGTCAGGAGTTGCAGTAAAATAGGGGAGGATTTATAATTATTAATCATTTTGTTCACTTATTAATTTTAAAAACAGTCTCAACTACAAGTTTTGAAAGTAATACTTCAGTAGTAGTTTTATGGAATCAGGAAGGGATTTTAAAAATGTAAGAAAATGTGATGTTTGGAAGTTCTGAAACAGACATTTCAATGTTTGCAATAGATAAAAAAAAGCTGGGCTTTTAATATATATTGTTCTTCATAAAGAACATAAGATAAGTTACAGAGAGTCCACTAAGAGAGTCAGCTATATAAATAGGATCTTGTTTTAGGTTAAACCCAATAAAATTCCACTTAAACAAAAATGTAATGAAAAAATCCCCCTCCCTTTGTACAGAACATACACAGAAAATTCTTGAAAGTTACACTGTTTGCAGTTTTAAACTGATTCTGCAGGGGGTCAGTATTTCTTAAAGCATTTCTCTGCACTCTCGCCCATTTTTAATTATAGATAAAATTCTAGTGGTCAGTCCTTTCCCCAGTGAAGTCATCAGCTTCAGTAGGAGCAGGATTGGGCCCCAGTTGTTTACTCTTAAAATAGGACACAAAATTTATACCTCAAAAAGCAACACTGCAAACCAAAAATGCTATACATATGCTACAGGAAAAGTTTTAAGGTGCTCTGTCTTATTGTTTATATTTGTGCATTTAGTAACAGCTAACATCTGGCACTTATGACATATACAAATTATTTTAACAGAACTGCTTGCATAAATCAGACACGCAGGATTTGGCTCAGTATGTAATTCATACCTGTTTAAATGTCCAACTATTGCTCTTGATTAATGGTTCAAAACAATTAAAATACTGTGTAGTTACTTAAAAGTCCATGAAAAGCCAAGTATTTCTCTACAGCTTTCTCAGGTATATTAAAGGAAAACCCATTGTAAGTGTAAGTCTAAAGCTAGTCTTAGTTATGTACTTTACATTATTTCAAGATACCTAATCAGTTAGCCTAATGCTTAACAGCAGCACAGTATAACCAAGGCAGTTAAAATACTATGTAACTGCCAGAAAACACATATTACAAAATTCATATTTAAACATTTGTTAAGATTCTCAAGCCGGGGATAAGGTGGCGGCAATGGAAGCCATTCATCAGCCAATTCAGATCTATTGCTTATAAACTTGGAAATACTTTATTCAAAATAGTTTAACTGAACTTAATACTGAACAGTTCCCTGTTAACAATCCTTATGATTCCACTAAATGCATACAAGGCCGAGGTGCTTATTGGAATGCAGTAGTAGTTTACATCTTTGACGTCAATAATTGCTTAATCATGCAACTACAAAAGGGGGCATTAGACAGTGGATGACATCTTGTTGGATGTTAGATATTCAGTATGCGCACATAAATTGCTCATGTTGTGACATCTGCAAAGAGAAGTAGACCTTTCAGTCACTAAAGAATTATTTTTTAAGAGACTGTTTTTGTTTTGTTTTGGTTCAAAGTGCTTGTTTCTCTAATTTTCTGCATTGTCTATAAACTAATAAAATATAGCCATCTACAGTTTATTAAACAAAAGCAGGTGGGGAGAGGGAGACAGTACCATGACAGCTATGTCTTTCTGCTACAGCCAGATATTCTCACTTTTTTACAGTTACAGACAGTATTAATTTTACTCACTTTACTTGTGTTCTGCACCTCTCTATTGCTGTTAGTATACAAAGGGTCTGCTCCTGTATACCTTGCAGAGTATTGGGTATGCAGGATTGAACCTCAGTGGAAATATAACAGACCATCTATCAAAAATGGCTTAACTAAAAAGTCAGCTTTTTCCTACAATATTTCTTACAAGACAGCAAGGGAAAAATAAATTAAAGGAGCAAAAGCCAACCACTTTTCTTTTTAGCTGTAGTTAAGGAGATCCCTTGAAAGGGTCTATAATAAGATTTCTTGCCCAGACAATGCAATGATTTCTGTGTATAATATTCCTATTATCAAAATAGTTAAAGGAAATTTAACATAAGATGTATCCATTCACGCACAAAGAACTCAGCCCAAGCTATCAAAATTTGGGAAGCCTACAAGAGTGACAAAAATAATAAAGGTCAGAAAATTAGAAATGCTATTTTTTTTATAAAATAAGAAGTACTTAGCTTTTTGGGGGGTATTTGTTACTTCTAGAGTCTTTGACAGTTTCTGCCCCCCAGGAATATTTCATGGGCTGCAACATGTTAGAGTAGAAGGCTGAAGGTAACCCTGGTAAGTGACAGTTAGGTAAATCTTTTTAAATCCATGATAATGAAGTAAAAACAAACAAACAACCACTAAAGTTGTAACTTTTGTTTAGATAGATTTTTTTAAATAGTTCAAGTGCTATTAGTCCTTGTCTTGTAATTGAAATACATACTTTTTTAAATGTGGCATTTAATATCCATTCACAGCTTCAAAATATTTGAATGTAATAGAGTGTATACAAATAGAAAATATTAATCTAAATATACTTTAGATGTAGAGAAAAATGCATAAGATCAAAGCCTAAATCTAGAGCAGCTGTGAATACTATTTATATGAGGGATTTTTACTCGTTTAAAGGGAAACACACAACAAAACAGAGAAATTTAAGTGGCGTTTGACCTATTCTTTTTATTTGGTATTTCAGACTAGTTTAGACCCATAGACTAATCCAGTGTGTGGACTTTTATGGGGCTCAGTTTTCTAGTCGGTTTAAGAAATACCAACATGAAGTGCGGCATGATAATCTACCACTGGAGGGAGTCTGGGCGCTTTCAAACAGCTCAAAAGCACCGGGAAAACGGCGAGCCACATGGGGAGATTGAGTGGGCACGGGAGAGAAGGACATGGTGAGAAAGGTTTTTATTGAAGCAACAGAAAATACACTGGGGCAGGCACGATTTCAGTCCAGAACTAAAGGTGCTTGGTTCAGAAGAGACAGGAATACGTGAGAGGGACCTGGCAAGGGGATTCTCTTTGGTAACTGTAGTACTGCGACCCTTCGCAGTCGATGCCACCTCTGTCTATAGAAAGAGGGCAAAGTCCTCGTCCACAACTGTTGTCCCATTCAGCCAACATCTTCTAGAGGCTTTTGCAAACTTCGGAGCTAAACGTGTTTGTAGCTTGGGGGGGGGGGGGGTTAGTGGAAGGTAAAAGAATGTGTGTCTGTATAGACACAACACACCCTTTAAATTAGGGATGGAAAAGCTCACCTGATCTATCTCCCTGCCGGTGCAGCATAGCACATACAGCTGGTGCATAGTGATGGCATTTCTGCCCTTTGAGATATGTTAATGAAATAGAGCTGAGTAGTTCCATTATTATTAGCTCATCCTCATAGTTTACACGTAGAACTTGCAGTGTTTTTTGGCGGTTCATTTTGCCGCATTAACACCAGCTCCACCGACGCGGGGTTACGTTTGTGTCTGATCATTGTCCCATGAGATATTTACAGGACACGCCCTATTATAAACTCTCACTTGAATAAACTACGTAAAGACACAGCCGTTTAGCAAGCCAAAATACAATTGTTGGAAGAAGATTAAAGGCAAAACAAAGCAGAGGAGAATCTGTTTTCCAGACTGCTAAACAACCGCACGATTTTAATTTGATTATGTAATATTTAAGATTAGAGTTAAAATTTGCAAACCAATTCAATTGGTCCTGTCACATCTCATCCAGTAACAGCTGATGTCAGATCCCTGGTGGCGTATAAATCATATATTTAAATCTAAACTAAGTGATGAAGGAGCTTTATTGCACGACTGAATTATTTTCTACACTCCTTTCAGTGACAGCTGTCCACTCTTAAGGATGAGTTTATGGGCGTGTATGTGAGTGAGAGGACCCCTAGACAGAGCCTGTGTTGAAATGGTTACATTTAGCAGCAAGACCATACAGGGACCACTGGGATCTCCTTGTAATTCAATTAGTCAGGTTTCAGGAAGGTGGGGCTGGATAATATTTTGGCATGGAGTAGGAGAGAATAAGGAAACGCCCCCTTTCTCGCGTTGTAAACCAATCCGGGTGGAGTAAAAAAAGGGAAAAAGCAGTCTGTAAGCAAACAGCAGGCTGTGCCCTGACTGGCTGCGGCGCCACATCTCCCCTCCCTTGCCCAAGTAAACTGCATGCAAAAATCCCACATGATCAACCAGCAGCGCCTGTGCTCCGAGCTAGCTGTCTGCGCCTCCTCCGTGCATCTACTCCTCGCACACACCAGCTTCCAGATCTCTCTTCTGACGCACACGCATGTGTATGTATGTGCGTGTCTCTATATACCGTGTATATATCTATGTAGCTGTCTGTTGTACACGCACATGCACACAGACACCCAGCGCGCTAGGCTCCCAGATTTTCCTAGGCTGCTGATGTCGGATTTACAGGCAGTGAAGGGACCAGCATTGCAAAAGGGGGCGTGACAGTTTAAATATCCCCCCCATAAAACATTTTTTTTTGCGAAACTGACTTTTGCCCCCACCCCCCGCCGCTGCATTCAAGTTTATTTGCTTGCTAGGGCGGAATATTTTTTCTTCAGAGGGAAAAGCTGCCGGGCAAGACCAAGACGAAGGTTTGATTTGTTTTCTGATGTAGTCCTCTGAGGGGTGCTTGCTTTCCTCCCCCTTCCCTCGCTCTTTCAAACTGTTTCGTCCTTCTTCCCAAGTCGATGGTTCAGGGATGGACCCTGCTTTATTCTAACACAGACACTTGGGGAAGCCGAAGGAGGAGATTTCTGCTGCTTGTCCTGCGGCTCCAGCTCGTTCCCTGTGCAGAGGAGGCGGCTTGACACCAGCATCACCAGAGGAGTTTGTGGGCTTTCAGTTTCCCCTTCTGCGAGGTTCGGCTGGTTTTACAGCCTCTCCTAAAACACCCTGATTTCCATCTGCTTGGGTCCCGCGCCGCAGTACTGCTTGGATTGGCCGCTTTTTGTGCCTTTGCTGTGGCTCGGTCCGTAGTGCATCCAGCGCCCAGGAACAGGAAGGACAAAAACCCACCCCACGAAGTCTCCTCCAACCAAGACACACACTCCGCTGCAGAGCAGGCTCCCCAACTCCATCCGCGCAGCAGCCGGACTCTTCGGGGCTCGCTTGCTGCCCTTCTGCAGCGTGGGGGGGGCAGAGCGGCAAACTTTGTTCTTGCTGCACGGATTCGCCTCCCGCCCGGCCCAGCTGCCTGGACACATTCCCAGGACCCCGGGGGGAGGGCGCCAGGGAGAAGATTTGTAGCTGCTGCTTCCCCTCCATCCTCGCGCGCTTACCTGAACCGGTTGCAGCTGCCTCCAGAGCCGGAGGGCTGCGAAGGAAGGACGGACATTGAACCCCCTCCCCTCATGTGCCACCAGCCACCAAGTAACTTTGCAAAAGGCCGGAGAGCAGTGCCTTGAGAGGAGCCCCCCCGACTCCCAGCCTAGCGCTAGCAGCCTCCCGGCGCCAGTGTATGTCTCCCCGTGGGCTCCGCACTGGACTCCCGGTGAATGTTCCCCGCCCGCCGCCCGCTGCAGCCGCCGCCTGGCTCGGATCCCACCTCCCCCTGCCGGGGTGACTAAGCTCCAGCGGCTCCTGAAGGGACCCAAGGACCCCCCCCCTCGGCACACCCTATTGGGGGGGCGTCTCGCTGCGGCTCGTCAGTGCAGCCTCCTTGTGGTCCCCTCCCTGCCCTCTCTGTGTGTCTGTCTGCGACTCGATTGACTGACTGATCCCCCGGCGGCGGTGTGGGCCGGGACTCAGTGATGTTGCACGTGGAGATGTTGATGCTGGTGTTTCTGGTGCTCTGGATGCGTGTGTTCAGCCAGGATCCCGGCTCCAAGGCGGTGGCCGATCGCTATGCCGTCTACTGGAACAGCACCAACCCCAGGTAAGAAGGGAGCGGGGCTGGGCGAGGGGCGGGCGTGGGAGCCGACCCCCTAGCACCCACTGTGCCGGGTTCGTCTCCCACGGAGGGGGTGAGACGCGGGGCTGCTGCCCAGCAGGCATCGGAGTGAGCAGCACTACAGGCAGGGGGAGCTCGGAGCGCTTGTCAGGCTGTACACGTGCTCAGAGCAGAGGGGGCAAGGACTGCGAAGAAGAGGAAGGGGCTGGCCCCCCACTTCATGTAGCTGACAGAGAGGGGCTTCTCGGCAGCGCGCTCCGGGGCTGGAGTATGAGGCTCTCGACCAGCGCCTGGAAACCTACTTGTTTGCAAGAGGGGCGAAAACTTTTTTCTTTCGGCTGCGTTAAGTGCAGCAGGAGGGGGAACTCTTAGTTTGGATCTTCCCGGTTAGCCATAGCAAACAATATTGCATCAGGCTAACTGCCCCCCAGTGCTTGGCACTCTGGTTTCCTTAGAGTGTCAAATAGTGATACTTTTGTATCAAAGTGTAGGTGCAGCATCTACAGTTAATAAACTCTGGGTATAAGTGTCTGTACATATATAGGCGTACGTGTAAGCATATGCGTTTATAAACACTTTTAAATCTAATTCCCTATTAAAGCTAGGTCGTGGAACCCATTTATACTGACCTCTGCTGCAGGGAAACTCTTTATAATTATGTGAAATGAAAGTCCTGCACTGTTTCACTATAACCTAGACGGCAGTGCACTGAACCTGTTTCTAGTGGATTTGTTCTCTCTTTCTGTGTGTGTGTGTGTGTGTTGATGTTGGGGGTGGGAGAATGACTTTTCTGTAAGAGGGAAATGTTTTGCCTGGATTGAGATTGTAGAGGAGCCTGGAGCTGGCTTCCTGGCAGCCACATGTGGCAGCTGTTCCATGTCAGGGCTTCAGAGATGGAGTAAAGGAGCAGCTTTCCTCTCAGTGAATTTATTTAAGCTGGTTAAGTCACATTAACGGAGCAAAGAAGCCTCCAACTTCTAAAACTTCAGCACTTGTAGATGAGTCCAGGATTGAACGTTTCCCATGGAAAAGGGCAGCTTCTCTTGCTCAAGTTCTCATATCAAATTCAAGTGCAATAGTTAGTGATGCACTCACAATAAAAGGGGCATCTGATGGTTTAGAACTACATTTATAAATGTTGGCTGGTGGTGGGGGTGATGGGGGACCAGTTGTTCACTGAGCCACTTAGTGAGAATCAAACTGTTCTTGAATTATAGTTGACAAGACGAATAGAGCCCAAGCTTTCCAGTTGGGATTGTGCTAAAAGATTTTTTTTGTACCTCTGCATGTTTTTGAATAGTGTCGCTATAAATGAAAGATAATTTTTTATTTAAAAACTTTCTATTCATAATGGTAAATGAACCTTTTTTGAAATAAGAGGTTTTATTTAGGATCTAGCAGTGTTCCTGTTATTTCCCCTTTATTTCAGTATAATAATATTTCAGTCCTGTTCCAAATGGTATCCATATGTTTCGGTAAAAAGTCACCTGTTGTATTTTTGTCTTTGTTAAAATAAATGTGAGCATTTTAACCTGTCAAGCTAGTCAAAGTAAATTTGAGGACATTTTACTTTAGGTTATCTCTGTTTTATGTTTCTGATACTGCTGTTTGGTTTGAGATTAGCACATTGATTTTTTGTTACATGTCATGTTTTTTAATACATCTGCATTGCTTGCAGAATACTGTTGTATTCTGTATATCATTGGCTTCAAAATAGGTGATACCAAAGTTAACCGGCAGAATTTTCAAGTGCCCGGAGTTTGCTAGTTAGCTTAGTTCTTTAATGTTATGCTTGTAGTGGCAGCTTTTCAGTTAAGTTACCCTTATGTAAAAGAAGGGTGACAGAAAATAATGATTTATCTGGATAACTTTTTAGTTGTGATGAGTAACTATCCTTTTTTTTTTTTAAGCTGTCGCCATAGGCATAACATTAAAGTACTATTAGAGTAGAATTAAGGAAGGTCCTACCTCCCATCACACTTAGATATATTTTAAAGCATATGCCTCTAAAAAATTGTATGTCTCATTTAAGTTTTCTTAAAATAAAGTTGAAATGAAACACAGTAAAATCATTTAAAAAAAACAACCCTCAAACAAACAATCTTCACCTACTCCGCTGTAAAGAGAGAGAAATTTGAGGGAGTAAATTTGACCAAATGAAAGGCACGTGTTGCTAGTATGGAGATTTTTTTTTTTAAACAAAGTCTACAATTTTAACTTTTCTGCTTCTCTCTGTGTGGTTATTATGCATGGTTTGTAAATAGGTGAAGATACTTGAAAGTAGAAATAATATTTAATGTGACAATAAGTAGTATGTATTTAATGGGTCTCTTTGTAATGCTTTTATTAAACTTTGTAATATTACATCACTGTAAAATGAAAACCTTTTCTAACTTAAACTTTCAACATTTGCAAAGAAAACTTTGTTTTGTTTTGCTAAGCTTCAAAACACAGGAGGAGCATAAGTTCATTACAAATTATTTTAAGCCATCTCTTCTTAAAAAACAAAGCAAAACTAAACCAAAAACTCTTTCTTGATATCTTAAAATATAAGGAAGCAGTTTTTTTTTAAGTATCTGTTTCTATATGACATGTTTGTTCAAGAGTTAAAAATGTGGTAAAGTTATAACGAGCTCAAATATGCTACTCTTCTGTTTTACAGAGTAGTGGCAGTAAAAATCTGTATTTTGTCCATGCCTATCAAATTCCTCGATCTTGTGCTATAAAAACAGGCAAACATCTGTTTGGATAAACATAAGAGGATGGGAGGAAAAATTGCTTTGTATTTTGTATTGCCTCTGTCAGGATCTAAGTTCAGAAGATAAAATTCAGTCTGGTTATCAAAATTTTAAAATTAGTCAGTTGTTCAATAATAATAACTTATCAGTAATTTTTCTTTCTATGTCAGAGGATTGACTGCATTTTGTTTTTACTAACATGTGGCAATCAAAAACAATACCTAATTGGATAATAACGATCTGAATTGGCAGGTGTCAAAGAAATAAAACATTATTTCTTTGACCTCTAATATAGCCATAGTAGTTTAGCTTACTTTTTTATAATGTTTATCCAAAGTTACCAATCCACTGTGAACTAATAGTCAGTTAAAAATTTAGATTTAAGTTCAAGCGCAAGAAAATAGAAATATGCTCTACAATACAGTTTCTTCAAAAATTTTGAGTGAAGAGATTTTTCATGTACTTCTGACAGCTATCTCTTGGTTTTATAGTTGCTAACCTAACTAAACAACTTATGAAAACAGAAATAATTTCTATTATTATTATTATTAAAAAGTCATATTAACAATCTGATGAGTGGTGCAAATAGATTAGTGCCTCCAGTATGAAACACACTTCCTTTAAATAAAACACCATGAGTATATTATAAAGGTTTGTATTGGATATTTTTTGAATAGATGCCAAAATCCTGGTAGAATAGTTAAAAATGTCTTCTGTTATACTGTTAGTATATGAAAGAGTAATATAACATAGTAATTTATTTTTAAATCACCCAAATATATTTTCAGAAAAATCACTTAGAAGTATCATTTTGCTTGCTTCCTACTATGTCACTTTAATTAACAAAATATATGTGTCCTCATAAATACCATACGCTGATTCCAAATAAAAACATGTGTTCCTCTTCTGTTAAACATGAGGCTTTCTAAAATGTGATTAAAATAAGGTTGCTTTATTACATGTGAAACTGTGTGTAAAAACTTGTGGATAGAATATTTTACAATATGTATTCTTGAAAATTTATGCAAGTGCTCTTTATATGTGATTTTGTAGATGTTAAAGTGCTTGTGAATTCTGATCTACTCTTAAAACACGTTAGTCTTACATCTATGACTGCAGAAGTACCACTTCACCGTAGAGAAATAGTAAGAATCTTGTCACAGCCACGTTCCTGTGTGCAATGTTTAACATAATTTTGAGAGTTCATTCAGAATGCAACATATTTATTTCATCTGACTCATCAGTACCATGATGATGATTCAGTCACCGACATTTCTCCCTTTTAGGGCCTGATCCTTCAGTTGCTGAGCGCTTGCCATTGTGAGTAGTATTACTGAAGTCAAATTGGACTACTTGCCGTAGTAAGTGCTACGTGCTGTACTTTTTACAGGATTGCATTTCAAGACTGCAATTTCTGTCTAACTATATAAGTTATTTCAAGAGTTGTGTTGTATAGAATTTATAAATTGATGGTGGTTTCAAAGAATTTTAAATAGTTTGTGTTTCTAGTCAGGTCAAATCTCTTATCACTAATACAAAGGGCCAAATCTTGCTTGTCTCACTCAGGAAACTAATTCTGTTGAAATTAGTGGTGTTTGCATGAGAAGGGTGTATACCGTTGGCCGTAATAATTAAAAATATATGTAATTAAAAATTCAATATAATTATTTGTATTCATGGACTGATCGCTCTAGATATAGATATGTATGTATTGTGTGTGTATGTATGTATGTATGTATACATATGTGGGTCTACTGGAAATTATATAGTCAAAATAATTTTAATCTCTAACTGTATGGTTCTAATAATCATAAGTGATGCCATAATTGGACTCATCAATATTAGAGTTCTCATTAGGATAGTTGCTTGAGGTCTCAAGTACAGAATAGAAAATAAGTGTGTTCCTGTAAATTCCATGACTAGATCAAAATTTCCAAACGCAGGTGTATAAAGTTAGGAAGCTGAATCCATAGTTAGGCACTTAGTCCTTGATTCAGGAAGTATCTGTGTTCACAAAAGCACTTACGTACCTGCTTAAATCCCATTGTAATACACAGGACTTAAGTATATGCTAACAGATAAATGTGCACTTAAGTGTTTTCCTGTATCAGAGCCTGAAAGAAGTGGACTGATTTTTCAGATTCGTTTTCAGAGCTTATGAGCACCCACAGCTTCTGTTGACTTCTCAAAAATGTGTCATACCTCAGCATGTCTTTATGCGCCTGCGTTTGAAAATTTGGTCATAAT